ATAAACACCGACATGGACAGAGGACAAACACACATGGACACAAGCACGAATAGACAACAGAACAAACAAACATAGACACAGACAAATATACATAGACACTAAAGCAAGACAAATTAACATGGACAGAGGAACAACACACAACGCACACAATACACACACACACACTAACCACGCAAACACACAAACGGAAATAGTAGATAATGAATAGACAGGATAAGATAAATATAGAATAGGCAGATTTAGATATATAGATAGGGCCAGAATTATAATATATTTATTATATAATATATACTATACGATATATATATATAGAAGATAGATTAGATAGATAGATAGATAGATAAGATAGATAGAAAAATATCAGATAAAGTAGATTAAGATAGCATAGTAGATACAGAGAGAGAAGAGAAGAGAGAGAGACGAGAGAGAGAGAGGAGAAGAGAGAGATGAGAGAGAGAGATTGAGAGAGAGAGAGAGAGAGAATGGATAGAGAGAGATTAGAGAATAGAGAGATAGGGATAGATAGATAGATAGATAGTAGTAGATAGATAGATATTATAGATAGAATAGATAGATAGATAAAATAGATCATTAAAGAGAGAAGCTAGAAAGACAGACATATAGACGACGACAGACAGACAGCGAATCAAAACGGAGCAATGGCCAACACTGATGATTATAAAACCAAAATTTTTCCTTCACAAGCCATTCCCCCGTGTACTAATTCCGATACCCAGATCTCCAGTAGTTTCCTAGTTACCTCAAATCATAAAAAAAAGGTTTAGAAGAGGAGGGGAGGGAAGGAGAGAGGAGGGGAGGAGGAGGAGGAAGGAGGAGGACAGGAGGAGGAGAGGGGGAGGCGGAGGAGGAGAGAGGAGGGGAGGGAGAGGAAGTGAGAGGAGGGGGAAGGAGGAGGAGGGGCAGGGAGGAGGGGGGAGAGGAGGAGGGAGCGGTGGGAGGGGGAAGGAAGGAAGGAGGAGGAGGAGGAAGGGAGTGAGGGGGAGGAGGGAGGGGGTTTTGTTGATGAATGAGAGAGGAGGGGAAAAGGGTTAGAGAAAATGGAGGCAGTGGTAGGAGGAGGGGACAAGGGAAAAGGGGGAGAGGAGGAGAGGAAGGGGAAGGGAAGGAAGGGGGAAAGAGGGGAGAGGAGGGAGAGAAGGGGAAGAGAAGAGGAAGAGGCAAAGGTAAGGGGGACGAGGGGAGGAGAAGGAGGAAGTAGAAGGAGAAGGAAAGGGAGTATATGAGAAGGGACGCGCAGAAAAATTAAGAAAAGACTTATGATTGAAAAAAAATAGAAAGAAAAGGAACACAAAAAAAAGACAAAGCCAAAAAAATATGCACAAACACAAAAGAAGAGCAAGAGACAGGAAACGAAAAATAGAAGAGAAAGATAACCAAAAAGAAACAAAAATGAAACTTAAAAAAAAAGGTAGGACGCACAAGAACCTGTTTTCACCGAAGCTTCCCGTCGTCGGTTGATGTACCCAGCGTAAAACGTTGAGCAAGCATGTCTAGTAATTTTTCCTATTGTTTATCTATTGGTTTTTTTTTCTCTCTCTTCTCTTCTACTTGGTCTCTGTCTTCTGTTGTCTCTCCTTTCTTCTTCTCTCTTTTCGTTCTCTTTGATCTCTCTGTCTCTGCTCTCTCTCATGCGATCTTGTGCTCTCTCTTCTCCTCTCTCGATCGCTGTCTGTTGTCTTTCTCTTTTCTCTTTCTCTCTCTGTCTTTCCTCCTCTCCTCTCTCTCTCCTCTCTCTCTCTCTCTCTCTCTCTCTCTCTCTCTCTCTCTCTCTCCCTCTTCTCTTCATCTCTCATCTCTCATCATCTCTCTCTTCTCTCTTCTCTCTCTCTCTCTCTCTCTCTTCTCATCTCTCTCTCTCTCTCTCTCTCTCTCTCTCTCTCTCTTCTCTCTCTCTCCTTCCCTACCTCCCATCCCCCTCCCTCCTCCCTCCCTCCCTCCCTCCCTCCCTTTCCTCCCTTCCTTTCCCCGCCCCTCTGATTCTCTGTCCCTCCCTCCACTCCCCCCTCCCTCCCTCCTTCCTCTCTCTCTTCTTCCCTCTCTCTCTCTCTCTCTCTCTGCTCTTCTCTCTCTCTCTCTCTCTCTCTCTCTCTCTCTCTCTCTCTCTTTCCCTACAACCCTACCTTCCCTCTCTCACCCTCTTCCTCCCCTCCCTCTCTCGCTCTCCTTCCTCCCGCCCTCCCGCCCCTCTAATCTCCTTCCTCCCTCCCCGTCCCTCCCTCGCCTCACTCTCTTCTTCTTCTCTCTCTCTCTCTCTTCTCCTCTTCTCTCCTCTCTTCTCTCTCTTCTCTCTCTCTCTCTCTCTCTCTACCATCTTCTCCTTCTCCTCTTCTCCCTCCTCTCTACTTCTCCTTCTCCTATCTCCGTTCCCCCCGTCCATCCTCCCATCTAATCTCTCTCTCCCTTCCTCCCCTCGCCCTCCCCCCCTCTATCTCCTTCCTCCCTCGCCTTACCTCCTCCCTCCCTCCCTCCCCTCCCTCCCCCTCTCTCTCTCTCTCTCTCTCTCTCTCTACTCTCTCTCTCTCTCTTCTCTCTCTCTCTCTCTCTCTCTCTCTCTCTCTCTCCTGCTCTCTCTCTCTCTCTCTCTCTCTCTCTCTCTTTCGTTACCAATCTGTTCCTTGTCTCCAGACCCAAGCACTGACCTCGACCTTAAAATTCTTCGATCGTGTCTCTTATTTCCATATTCTTTTTTTTCCTTCGCTTCGTTTAAGAATCTGTTTAACGTATTTTATTTGCTTTGTCTGTCTTTCGTTGTCTTTCTTTCTTTTCTCTCCCCCTATTCTTTGTTTTCTTTCTTTCTTGTATATTTTCCATCTCTCTCTTTCTATTGATTGGTTTTCTTCTAGTTTTTGTGTTTTCTTTGTGTCTTTTTGTCTGTCTTTTCTCCTTTTACGCGTTTTTTTCTCTTCCTTTTCC